TTTTTACACTCCATGTCAGTAAGCAAGAGAAGGAACCTTGGCAGAGACACACAAAATACCTTGCCCAAGGCCCTGGCTTTGATTACTTCCAGTGCCCCAAACTCATTTCCTTTTGTAAAGGAAAACACTTCAGAGTAAAAACAATTTTCACGCAGCTACTGAAACTGCTTTCTTTAGCAGTATCACCTTATTTATTTCTTCAGTCAGTCAGCTAACCCTGGACTGGGATATTAAAACCCAAACCAGATCAAACCCATTGCTGTTGAGTTGATTCCGACTCATAGGGACCCTACAGGACAGAGCAGAACTGCCCCATAGGGTTTCCAAAGAGCAGCTGGTGGATTCGAACTGCCGACCTCTTGGTTAGCAGCCGTAACCCTTAGCCACTGTGCCACCAAGGCTCTGACTGGGATATTGGTGAGGAAAAAAAATGAGGTATGCATGTGGCCTACAACAGCACACACCATTTTACTGTTAAAAAAAAAAAAAGTCAAGAGTTTCCAGAATAAATAAGCCCTTTAATATTCCATCATGGAAGAGTACAAATAAGAAGCTCAGAATCATGGTTTTAGAGCCACACTGCCTCAGTCTTCAAGGATACCTGGCGGTGCTGTGGTTAAAGTGCTTGCCTGCCAACTGAAATGTTGGCAGTTCAAACTCACTAGCCGCTCCATGGGAGAAAGATGTGGCAGTCTGCTTCCATAACGATTATAACCTTGAAAACCCTATGGGGCAGTTCTACTCTGTCCTGTAGTTTGCTGTGACTCAGTGACAGTGGTTTTGGTTTGCCTTAATCTTCTGCCCTTGGAAGAGGTCTGAATAATGTCATTTCACTTATATTCTGGCTTTTACATTATCTCCCCAAAGCAATGATTGCTGTTAGCAGAGTTGTGTTTGATTTAAATTTTATTCTTTTTGCTCTTCTGTATTTTCAAAAACTTTAACCAAATAAAAATATTACAGGCAGAGAGATTAGGAAAGCCTGAAATGATTCAACAGGAGCAGAGACCAAGAAGAAAAGGTGAATTCGAGAAAGAAAGATTTAGGAGATAGAATTGACAGGGTTTGGCTATAGTAGCATGAGGGGATTGAATAATAAACACTTGTGTAATTGTTACCTATTTTAAAGAGAAACAAATGCAGCATAATTTATTTTAACTTGTACTCATAGCATCAAATATGTTAAATGTCATTATTTTCAATCATTTATCTGTCCTAGATGATTTGCCAAGTATTTCGTAGTTGACCATTTAAATAAGTGTACATTTGGGGTCATTGAAAAGCTGAGGTGAAATAAGGAGAGTTTAGTTAATTGCATGACCTTTTCTTTTTCAGTTAACGTTAATTTAATAATAAAACCCTGTTGTGAGAATATTTTATCATGATAGATATTGACTTGAAGAGCAAAAGAGAAAGTGTGAAAGATAAAAGCCCTAAAAGTAAATGTTTGAAGAATATTAACTATACTACATTCATCATTGGTAATTATTTCCCCTTTAAAAAAAGTATTCAAAATATATTTTACTTCTTCGAAAGAATGATTTTACAGTGGGCTTTCAGAAACATCTGATTACCATTTTCAAGATCAGAACATTCCAGTAATAGATAACCTCCAGACAAATAAGTTTTCATGAGTACTGTAGTCAAAACAAGATACAGCTGATTGTAGAAAGATGTAAGTGTTAAATTGTACTCTTACCTGTTAAACTAGTTTGATACTGATATTTTCTAGCAATTTTTTCTGAAGTAACAACTATGGCTGTATGTGTTGACAATGATGGTTTGTGTGGGAATGGGGGGGGGGTGAATAAAATAATGTGTCCCATTTTGTTATTTCCATGTGTGAACATTAGTTTCTAATGAGAAGTCCCCAAACAGTGCTGCTATTCATCAAAACACATGCTCTAGATCTGAATGAATTTAATTATCTTGAGGACAATGAAATGAGGACCTTTAAATCAACTTAAAGAAGAAAAATTCAGCATAAGAAGCACGTATACCAGGCTGCATAGAGCTAGTTTTTGACGCCTATTTTCTCTCCTCCTAGAAGGAATTGTTTGTGGAAGAAGACAATATGGTTCATCTCAAGCGTGTTTTTGACCAGCAATTAGAGCCAACAAGATCAGCATACCCATAGCCAGCATTCTGAATACAGTGATCAGCTCTTAGCATAGACAAACCTCCTAAACAAAGAGATGATCACTGTATTGTATCTAGGATACTGTGTATTGATTTCAGACTCATACAGTAATCTTGATAGGGAGAGAAATCGTTTTATTAAGGGCATCATCTGACTCAACTTTGCAAAGGTCCACCTACTCTTTTATCAGAAAATCAGTTTAAAATCTGAGGATAGAAAATGAAAACATGTTTACTGAGTATAATTCCTTTTTATGAGTCTTCAGCTTTGTTTGGTTAGTGGTTTTGGTTTGTTACATAACAAAACCCAGAAAATGAAACCCACTGCCATCTAATTGATTCTGACTCATAGTGCCCCTGTAGGACAGAGTAGGACTGTTCCATAGGGTTTCCAAGACTAAATCTTTACGGAAGCAGACTGCCATATCTTTCTCCTGCGGAGCAGCTGATAGATTCAAACTGCCAACCATTTGGTTAGCAGCTGAGAGCTTTAACCACTGTGCCACCAGGGCTTCTGTTATATAACAAGCAAACAGAAATGATAGCTAAACTAAGATGGGAAGTGTATTCATCTCTGACTTTTTTTGCAGCTCCTCCTATCTCATAGGCCATGTACTCATTTATTAGCCAGTAAAAATCTAAGAAATTAGCTGCTACTAATATCAATGAATAACAGCCTGATTGAAATATCATATTAGAATATGGGACCCTTATCCCAAAAGCTGAGTATGTTATATTCTTATAGTTCTCATGTCATCTTGTGATTGTATTAGAGAATATTTTACTATTTCTTTTTCTATTTGTTTTGTGTTATATGTTGACATATATTATCCCAACTGATTCTAATAAAAGACACTGGTGGTGCGCTTGGCTGCTAACCAAAAGGTTGGCGGTTCTTCAAACCAACCAGGCATTCTGCGGGAGAAAGTTGTGGCAGTCTGCTTCAGCCTTGGAAACCCTATAGGGCAGTTCTGCTCTGTCCTATAGGGTCACTATGAGTTGAAATCGACTCGACAGCAGTGGGTTTTTGGTGGGTTAGGTAGCTAAGGAGGTATGATTATCACCATTGAATATATGAAAAAACTGAGGCTCTCCACTGGACTGAGTCCAGTACAGCTAGATGGTGCCCAGCTACCACCACTGACTGCTCTGACCAGGATCACAACAGAGGGTTCTGGACAGAGCTGGAGAAGGAT